GAAAGAGGAAGGAAGAAGAAGGAAGGAAGGAAGAAGGAAGGAAGGAAGGAAGGAAGAGGAAGGAAGGAAAGAGTTAAATGGGAAAAAATGCAGAAACTTTCTGTGACAAAGATCTGCTACTTGGAATCTATAAGGAACTGATTTAAATATACAGAAGAAGAACCATTTTACAACAAATGGAATAAAACAGGCAGTCCGTGGGGGTAAATGCAATTGTCAACAATTATAAGAAAAAAAAGGGCTCAAAATCACTAAAAATTAGAGAATACAAATGAAACATTTCTGAGGTTCTACCTCATGCCCAGTAGATTGACCAAGATGACTAAAATATAAAATGAAAATTGTTAAAGAGGTTATATAGGACAGACATGAAGGTACCATTGCTTAAGCTGTGAGTTGGTCCAGCCATTCTAAAAAGAAATTTGGGATTATGCTCAAAAAAATGACTAAGTAGCACATACTTATTGACCCATCAATATCAGTTCTAGACATGTATTCCCAAAGAGATCAAAGACAGAAGGAAAAGTCTCATATGTACAAAAATAATTATGGCAACGATTTTCATTGTAACAAAAAAGTGGAAACTAGGAAAGGGGGTGGGAAAGAGAGAAATATTCAACAATCAAGGAAGAAATGAGTGAATTTTACTATATGAATTAATGAGATATTCCATCGGCGTAATACATGACAAAAGGAACACATTCAGAGAAACCTAGGAAGATTTTTATGAACTGGTATAGAATGAAGTACATCTTTGTATGTACTTTGTATATGGAAATATTCATAGAAAATAGGATAGTAGAAAGTTCAGATTAAAATTAGACAGGAGAAATTTTGGAACTCTTGCTAAGGACCCTGGCATTCATAGTTCCAGAGGACTAAAGACCTGTAGAGAGTTGATCTAGACTAGACTCTCTAGAGCTGGACTGCAGTCTCTGCCACAGGAGAGGAATTTTTAATTACTAGCTTGGAGAGTTTCCTCACCCTGTGCCATAGAAATTCTACCTTTAGTTTCTATCCCTCCCAGGGATATTAAGCAGAAAGGACTCATATGCAAAGAAATGTGGATGACAGGGGTGCAGGGGAATATTGTTAAGTGGGTCTAGACTCCACCAGGCCATTTAAGTATCTTTAGGCATACAGGACAGCAGCGACCAACCTAATCATTAGTGAATATTTCCCTTGATAAGATTCCAGAGGATTTATTAAATTACCTTTTTACCTTTCTCCCTCTCTTTCTATTTAAAAGTATTTTAAAAGTTTCCTCTTTTTTTTTAACAGTTATTTACTATTTTCAAGGATACCTTAAAGATAGCTATCTCTAGATAAGGATATATATGATTGCTCTTAATTGCCTATGTTTAGCTGAGTACCATAAGTGAAAAAAGGGAATTATTTGGGGACAAGCATCAGTGGTTAGTTTAAATATGGAATAATTAAATTAGGTTTCCCTGTCAATCAGAGAAGGATACATCCAGTGTTCAGCAAACTCTAATAATCAAAATTGGATGTGATCTAGGGGCTCCAAGCAGTGATGATTTATATTAACAATCAAAATCCTTGAACTCACTAAAATAGCAGAGAAAGGACCCACTTGGACCTGCAGGCCATTGAGCTTAGATTAAAACTATGTGCATATTTCTTATCGTAGCTAAGTCCCTCTAAACATGCTCTGGGCAAAAATCTTCAGCCTCCAACTCAAAGAAAATTAGGGTAGATGAGAGAGTGACTTTTCCTTCTGTCTTTGATCTCTTTGGGAGTACAAGTCTAGAACTGATATTGTTGGGTCAATAAGTATGTGCTACTTCTTCAGGGAAAGACTGAGTTGATCCAGTGGGAGGACATAGGCATGGTCCAGGAAGATCTAGCTCTACTCCTCTGTTTCTCTTGGAGGGGAAGAATAAAAAAGGAATAAATACCTAGACTTATGATGTTTCTGCAAAACAACAACTGCTGTGCGTGTGTGTGTGTGTGTGTGTGTGTGTGCACGCGCATATGTGTGTACTGATATTTTTCAGGTTCATAACGAGAGAAGACACAGTCCTTCAGGGAAATAGGCACATTGATAGACCATTGGTAGAGCTGTGAATTGGTCATACCATTCTGGAAAGGAATATATGTTTTAATTTTTTATTTATTTCATTTTAAATTTGTGGAATAAAACGCGTTTCCGTACCAGTATAAAAAAAAAAAAGGTCATTGCACATGAAACTGCAAATCTATTATGTACAACTTGCTATTCCTTTTAAATATGTAATAAAGTAATGTAAATTTCTTTTTCCTATCTTTTTCTTCTGTCCAGCTCCCCAACCTAGAGATCACTACCATTACACATGAATATGTATATATGTGTAAATTTATTCTATATATACTTCTGTTATTAGTTCTTTCTCTGCATGCTAACAGCATTTATTGCACTATGATTTGAAAAGGACACTTTTAATATTTCTGCTTTTACTATAAAATTTTTATCTCCTAATATGTGGTCAGTTATTGTAAAGATACCATGAAGTACTGAGAAAAAATGTTTATCTCTTTCTCTTTTCATTCAAGTCCTTTCAAATATCTATCATATCTGGTTTACCTAAAATTCTTTTCACTTCCTTGACTTTTTCTTATTTATTTTTGTGTTAGATTATCAGTTCCAAGAGGGAAAAGTTAAAATCTCCCACTATTATAATACTACTACCTACTTCCATGTGTAATTCATTTAACTTTTCTTTTAAAAACTTGGATGTTATATCATTTGATGCATATAGGTTCGGTATTGATATTGCTTTATTATTCATAGTACCTTTTATCAAAATGTATCTACCCTGTTTATCTCTTTTAATTAAATCTATATTAGCCATAACTTTTTTCTGAGATCATGATTGCATCTGCTGAAACATACTAAATTCTACTCTAACTCTATATTCACACTGTGTGTATCTCTCATTCTTAAATGTGTTTCATGTAAACAACATATTATTGGATTTTGCCTTTTAATCTATTCTGCTATCTGTTTCCATTTTATGGATGAATTCATCCCATTCACATGCAAAGTTATAATTAGTATTTGGGAACATCCCTGTAACTCTGTCTTCTCCTCTTACCCTTCTGTTCTTCATTCTACTCACTCCTCTGAGTCTCTCTTTATCCTCTCCCCCCTATACACTGTTTCCCCCCCAAGACTTTCAAATCTTAATCCACACACCCTTCTAAAATTTCCTCCCCAACCCTTCTTCTACAGATCCAGAAGACTTTTCCATCCCATGAGATGTAAAGTTTCCTCTTCAACCAAGATCTGAAGCGAGTGAGATTCCAACATTAGCAGTCCTCCACCTCCATCTGCTTCTTCTTGCATCAGTTCTTTCTTTCATGTTCCATTGTTGAGATAACTGTTCTTTTTATCCCATCACAGACAACTCAGATCCAACATTTATTTCAAACTACCCTAGTACTGATGACACTGTTAAGAATACTAATAGCATTTTCATATATAAGATGTGAACAGTTTGACCTTAATGAGTCCCTTATAATTACTCTTTAATATTTTTCTTACCTTTCTTCTGGATCTTTTGTATCAAATTTAACATTGAGTTCTAGTCTTTTTGTCACAAATACCTGAAAGGTTTTCAGTTTGTCAAATATATAATTTTTGGATATATATCCAAATATATAGTATAGCATAAATAGATATAGTATAGTTATACTTAACTTTGCTGGATAAGTAATTCCTGCTCACAACCCCAGCACTTTTGCTCTTTGAAATATATATTTCAAAACCTATGGCTTTTCATGGAAAAGCTGCTACATCTTGTGAGATCCTGATTGTATCTCTAAAGAGTCTAAATTTTTTTTTCTTATTGCTTGTAATATGATCTCCTTAATCTGGGAGTATGGAAATTTGAGCAAGAAATTCTTGTAAGTTTTCCATCCAGGCTCTCTTTTAGGTGGTGAACGGTAGATCATTTTCTCTTTCTAGTTTTTAATTAGAGTATGAAGTTGAAATATGTAGTAGTAATGATAGTAATAGTTGTAGTAGTACTAGTAGGAGTAATAGTAGTAGTAGCTATTGTTGTAATAATAACAATTTCTGGTAATATTTATATAGCACTTACAATGTGCCAGACACTGTACTAAATGCTTAAAAATTATCAACTCCTTTGATCCTTCACAATAATCTTGGGAGATAAGTGCTATGATTATCCCCATTTTATACATAAAGGTACTGAAGCAAACAGAGGTGAAATGACTTTCCCAGGATCATATAGCCAGTAAATGTCTAAGGCTGGATTTTAACTCAGGTCTTTGTAATTCCAGGTCCAAGACCCTGTCCAAGGTGCCACCTCACTGACATCACATTGTGAGCAGTTAAGCTGCCATCATAGTAGGATACATGTATATTTTGAAGTATATAACATGAGACAATTAATGAGCAGAAAATGGCTCCTAACTAACTGTGGTAGATAACTACACACAAGTATAGGATAGAGGCCCTACTGAAAAGAATCTTAAGATCTGGGAGGAGCACAAGATGGGATCAATAAACATATCTGAAAGAACACACAACGTAAGATGCATATGTATAATTCAGGCTTAGATTGAATTGTACAGACTGTAAGAACTAAAAAGGTCACAGGGATATGGCACCTAAATTGTGATTCAAGGGTGGGTGAGATTTCTGCCAGTGGAGTTGAAGTGAAGTGAAGAAAAAAGAAGAAATATTCCAGAATGGGGAATTTCTGGGAAGGATGGGGAAAGTTAAATCATGATTTTGGCAAAAGTCAAAGGCAGTATTAGATTATGCTAGAAGAGCATATTGGGCTGAAAGCATAGAGGGCTTTCACTGGCAGGCAATGGAATGAATACATCTTGTTCATAAACATGAGGAGACTCTAGAGCAGTTGGAACTAGGGCTAGTCCTTCACATGTTTTAGGAAGGGAGAAAGCAGAGCTCATAGGAGGGGGCACTCTGACAAATCCACTGGCAATTGGGGTGGTGTCGATATCTTCTGAGTCAATGGCAGATTTCAAAGTAAAATTTTGTAAGATGGTAGTAAAAAACAAAAATAATTCCATCCGAGCCAGACTCTCACCAGCACATATCCGTTTTCCTGAAAGAGACAAATATAAGGATTTGATATTTGTAAACTTCTAAGTCATCTAGGCCACTTCTTTGGACTTACAGGTAGCCCACTAACACTCAGTGTCACTAGGTAAAAAACTGCATGCATTCCTTTCCTCTCTGGTCCTTGACTCCTTTGAAGAGCCAAGACAGAGAAGAAAAAGCCCTCCTGTATGCTCTCCCTCAGTCAATCTCCCCTGAGCCAGAGCAAGTTCTGGGATTTATATTCAGAGGAAAGGAGTCATTGTCTTAGGGAGAAACAATCCCTCATTTTTTAGTCTCAAGGAATAACTTTGTGAGTACCCACATTGACTGCAATGAGGAAAGGTGACAGAAGAATGATGAAAGCTCCTTTTGGGAATCATCTATCACCGTTCTGGACAGAAAACACCTCTGGAGTCTACCCCACAGCTTCATGGCCATCCAGCCACTTGTCTTAACTACTCACTCCTAGCTCTAACCCAGGTATTAGAACCAATTGAGCAGGGCATTGGAGACCACAATATCAATGATAGTTAGCTGCCTGCCAACATTCTTGTCTGCCAGCGCCAGAAGGGGCTATCGGCACCATTACCTAATAACCAGTAGGTTCCCCCAAGACTTGAAGGTGAAAGGACAGACCATCAGTTATAATTCTGTACCAAAAAGATCCTTATTAAAATATACATGGCTTGGGAATGGGATTCCATGCTCATGTGTCCTAGTCAGCAGTCACATTTCTATAAAATCATAAACTCTAAGATTAGACCTTCAGTGACCTTAGCCATAATGGTACCTGAGTAATAGGCCTTAAGATAACCCAGTCCCATTCCTTGGCTTGATAAAATACAAGATTATACCATGCTAACACAAAAGCCTGGAAGATTTATCTGAGAAGTAGCTCCTGGTTGACAGTGCCTTGGAGGATGGTTATTAATGTGGGCGGCGGGGGGTTGCTGTCACTCTGGATGCAGAACAGAGTGGCCACTATCTCAGTTCTGCCTCTTTTTTTGGAACAGCTACTCTGAAACTCAACTGATTTGTTGATGAACCTAGGCCTAAGGAGAATTAGAAGAATGATTTACTATGTCTTCACCCTACTCCCTGGTTATATAAATTGGAAGGACCATAATGGTCACCTAGACCAACCCAGTTTTTGGGCATATTAGGTAACTGAAGCCCAGAGAAATGAAATAATTTGACCAAGGTCACACAAGTAATAAGGTCCTCTGAGTTATCAATCCATCTTTAATGTACATATTTGGATGAATGTCTTACCTGTTGAAAAAGGCATGAAATAGTCGCTCTTCTTAAAGTTGCCACTTTCATCCAGGAAGTGACCTGGGTCAAACTGGTCTGGATTAGGGAACTCTTCATCATCATGCAGAATAGAAGACAGCAATGGCACGATGGTGGTTCCCTGAAAAAAAGAGATACAAATAAATAATTAGAAAATAAGAATCATAGAATGTCAGAGCTGAAAGAGAATTTAGAACTATCACCTAGTCAAAACCCCTGATTTTTAAGTATGGAAAGAGCCAATCTTTTTAAATAGTTCTGCTGATAGTAAGTTAGAAAGTCTACAACACTATTATGAGAGATGAAACTGAATTTTGACACTTGAGGAGCAGAATCAGTACTGATGAGTAAAATACACAAGGAGGCAGATTTCAGGTTTTAAAAAGTTAATAAAGTACTTTCAATCATTAGATCTATCAAAAGAGGAAAGAGCTGCTTGGGTGGACAAGAAGCACACTGATCATGGATAAGATTAAGCAGATTCCAGATGATCTGAAGAGACAGAAATTAATTGTGACCTGTATCAGGATGTTGAAGAATAACATAATGTCACACAGAAGAATAAGGCAAGAGCTGATAAACAAGTTGGGAGCTCTTCTTGAAGATGAAGAAACAAGATGTTCTGAGGAAGAAGCACTTGTTTGTAGTCTAAAGAATGGTAAAGGAAGTTCACAAGTGTTATCTGGCAAGGCATCCAGGAAGAAGAAAAGAATAATGGTTGGTGACTCCCTGTAGAAGGATACTGAAACAGTTGTTTGCTGACAATAACTAAAATGGATAGTTCTGGGGCAGCGAGGTAGCACAGTGGAAAGAGCACCGACCTGAAGTCAGGAGGACCTGAGTTCAAATTCGGCTCAGACACATAACACTTACTAGCTGTGTGACCCTGGGAAGTCACTTAACCTCATCGCTTCACACACACACACACACAAAATAAATAGATAGTTCTGCCATATTACAAGAGCATATGTCCAAGAGATAGTGGAGAACCTTACAAAACAAAGGGGACAACTACTACACACATCTGGTGATTCACATGAGCAAAAATTATGATACTGCCGTAAACAATCTGGGAAGCATTTCCAAAAGGTTTTGACATTAAGGGGAATAAAAAACCCTAAAGACTTTAGGAGCACAGGTGGTGTATTCGTTATGGTTGTCATTGGAAACAAAAGATTCAGAAAGGAAAGGCAGATTTCAGAAGTGGACATCTTGTAAGAGGGTGTTTAAACATGGGATTTGGATTTCTGGACCACATCTTAATAAAAATACAGACATGATGAACTCCTGAACAGGAGTGGAATGATGCATCTAGCAAAGGTTGGAAAGATGATTATTTTGATTCATTACAAATATAGTCAAAAGGCTTTTTTAATGCTTAACGTACTATTTAAAAAAGGGTGGATTGGGGATTTTAAGACCTCAAAGGCATAAATAGGGCTTGGTATGATGAGATGCTGAAGCAGACTGAAGTCCTGGAAAGGCTATAACTTATTCAAAAGAAAGCAGATAGGAAAAAGAGAGTGGGGTAGTATATATTAAGAAGAGACACTCATGTGAGATTATTTAGGAAGCAGAGGAAAGAAGAATGATGAGAAGCATCTAGGTAAAGAGAAATGGAGGCAACATCAAAACTGGCATTGCCATTACAATATGCTACAGACCATTTGGACGGAAAAAAACTTGACAAGGAATACAGAAAACAAATTATAAGCTCTGGAGGTTAGACATGATATAGCAGCGACAGAAGATTTCAATCATCCATTCATATCGTCAAGTTTCACTTCTGTCAAAAACAGAGCAGTTTGTAGTTCCATGACTTTTCTTAATGATAATTTCATACTGCAATTATACTGGAACCAGTTCTCACCATCTGAGAGGAACTTGGATAACAAAGATGTAAATAGAGACCTGCAGATCCCCTGTGGCACAGCATTCTTCCTCTGGAGGGATCATGCTGTGTTGCAGGATATGCAATCATACTTTACACACTTTCAGTGCACATTTATGGACTGTAATAAGGGGAATTTTTGGGAAAGTGACCGGTCCATCTTAGAGTTTATACAGGATCAACTAAGTGGCCCAATGGGGAGAGTACAATACTTGGAGTCAGAAGGAACTGATCAGGCCTCAAACACTCACTAGCTATGTAACCCTGGCCAAATCACTTACCCTGTCCTAGACTCAGTTTCCTTATTTGTAAAATGAGCATGATAACAGCACCTACATTTCAGCATTGTTACTAGGATGAAAAGGGAATATATTTGTAAATTGTTTCACAAACCTTAATGCTAGCTATTATTATTATTATCACCAAGAAAGACAAGAGTTAAGTTTCTCAATACACAAAGAAAAAGAATTCTGGTGATGGAAGAAAAAGGAACATTCTCTAAAGATACCAATGTGGATAAGGTAGCCAGCTGGTGCAGTAAGGAGACTGCTAGACCTGAAGTAAGGAAAACCTTTATACAAATCCTGATTCACAAATTTATTTGCTGCGTCACCGTAGTTGAACCAGAGGGTCTCTTTAAGACTTAGTTTCCTCACTTGTAAAATGAGGATAATAATAGCAACTACTCCCAGAGAGTTGTTTTAAAGGCTAAATAAGCTCATCTATGTAAAGCAAACTTCAAAGTACTTTATAAAAAATAGATATTATTATTATAGTAAATTCACCAATGAACTTAGATTTTTCAAGGGCAAGGATGAGTAAAAGGAGCATGTCAGAGTTTCATAAAAGTGACAGAAGTGATAAGACCCAAAATGCACAGAGGCTGATGCAGCAAACAGAGCACTAAAAAGAAGAGATTTTTGGGGGTGGAGCCAAGATGGCAGAGTGAAAGCAGTGACTTGCTTAAGCTCTCCTCCAAATACTCATAAAAAATGGCTCTAAACAAATTCTCAAGCACCAGAACCCGCAAAAAGACAGAATGAAACAAATTTCCAACCCAAGACAACCTGGATGATTGATCAGAAAGGCGTATTGCACCAGGCTGGGAGCACAGTGCAACACAGTGTGGGGCACAGGCCCCAGCAAACCTGGAGCAGGCCTCAGAAGACTGAATTGTGGGCAGCTGTGGCAGTTTCCAGACGGCTCAATCCCCAGTTGCCAAAGACAACTTAGAAGGTCAGTGGGAAAAGTTTGTTTCTCTGTGGTGCTCAGAGAGGAAGGCAAGGTTTCAGCTCCATTCCCCAAGAGCATGGCCCTGGGGGTGGGGCAGCGGGTTCCCTAGCCTTTGGCCCACAGACTGAGGGGGAATCTAGTGGCTGATCAGAAAGGGACTGCAGGGATATCTTTGCCAGTGCTGGGGCAGGAATCTCTTGCTTTACCCTTGTTTAGATCTGGGTCATAGTTCTAGGGGGCATTGCTGGGGTGAAGAGGAGCTATGGCATGGAGGAGCTTGTAGTGGCTGTGGAGAGAAGCCCCTCCTCACAGTTATGGGACAGAAAGGAGTACTTGTGGTCACAGGCCAGGAAAGGAGTAAACACCTTGCCCCTTATCATACCACCTTGGAAGAACTGAAAATTTAAAGTTCCCTAAAAGTATCTCTGAAAACATTTACAAACCGCAGAAGCTTGGGACAGTACATTCTCCACATTGGAAGCAGACTCTTACGTTAACAAAGAGTTTAAAACTCAAGTAATTGGCCGGGATCGTGAGGAAGCAGCACAAAAAGAGTCAGAGTATATTACCTTACTTTGGTGACAAAGAAGATCAAAATATACAACCAGAAGAAGACAACAAAGTCAAAGCTCCCACATCCAAAGATTCCAAGAAAAATATAAATCAGTCACAGGCCTTGGAAGAGCTCAGAAGAGATTTTGAGATGCAAGTAAGGGAAGTAGAGGAAAAAGTGGGAAGAGAAATGAGAGGATGCAAGAAAATCATGAAAAACAAGTCAACAGCTTGCTAAAGGAGACCCAAAAAAATGCTGAAGAAATAACACCTTAAAAAATTAGCCTAACCCAAATGGCAAAAGAGGTCCAAAAAGCCAATGAGGAGAAAAACGCCCTAAAAAGAAAATTGGCCAAATGGAAACGGAAGTCCAACTGCTCAATGAAGAAAATATTTCCTTCCAAATTAGGATAGAGCAATTGGAAGCTAGTGACTTTATAAGAAATGAAGACACTGTAAAACAAATCCAAAAGAATGAAAAATTAGAAAACAATGTGAAATATCTCATTGGAAAAACAACTGACCTGGAAAATAGATCCAGGAAAGAGAATTTAAAAATTATTGGACTATCTGATAGCCATGATCAAAAAAAGAGCCTAACATCATCTTTCAATAAATTATCAAGGAAAACTGCCCTGATATATTGGAACCTAGAGGGCAAAATAAAACTTGAAAGAATCCACCAATGTCCTCCTGAAAGAGATCCCCAAAGGAAAACTTCTACGAATATTATAGCCAAATTCCAGAGTTCCCAGGTCAAGGAGAAAATATTACAAGCTGCCAGAAGGAAACAATTTAAGTGTTGTGGAAACACAATCAGGATAACACAAGACTTAGCAGCATCTATCCTAAAGGAACGTAGGGCATGGAATCTAATATTCCAGAGGGCAAAGGAGATAGGATTACAATCAAGAATCACCTACCCAGAAAAACTGACATAATCTTTCAGGGAAAAAATGGTCATTCTGTGAAATAGAGACTTTCAAGCATTCCTGATGAAAAGACCAGAGCTGAATAGAAAATTTGACTTTCAAATACGGTACTCAAGTGGAACATGAAGAGGTAACAGGAAAGAGAACTCATAAGATTGACCTGTTTGCATTCCTGCTTGGAAAGATAGTATTTATAACTCATGAGACCTTTATCAGTATTAGGGTAGTTGAAGGAAAAAAAATTATATGTATGTCTATAGATAGATAGATAGACAGGGCATAGGGTGAGTTGAAGATTAAAGGGTCATATCTGGAGAATAAATTAAGGTATGAGAGAGGATGATACTCAGAGAAGAAGAAAGGGAGAGGTAGAATGGGGTAAATTATCTCACAAAAAAACAGAAAAGAAAAGTCTCTTACAGTGGAGGGGAAAGCAGGGGAAGGTGAGAGGAATGAGTGAATCATATTCTCATAGGATTTGGCTTAAGGAGGGAATAACATACACATTC